ACTTAATCTATCCATTATTTTATAAATATTTTTGGCTATATATTATTTGACTATATATTTCAATTAGCTCTTTCGAATTTTAAATGAATGTAAAATTTCAAAAAGGAATTGAATTTTACTTGGCTGCAAGAATAAGATAAGTTTGGTTTTTTCAACAAATAAATTTTCTACTTATATTGAAATATTAATGTATGATTTTATCTAGCTTAGCTATATACAAAAAAGTCATATTTTACGCTGGTCATTTCACACTTATTAACTCTTACAATATTAAAATGTATTATAATTAGAGAGAGAAAAATTAGAAAATCAGAAGAAAGATAACTGCAATCAAACAATTGCACCAGTTTCTACTTTTTATTTCTTCAAATAAAGCGATATAAATATTCGATAAAATATTAAACTCTCTCAGATTTCTCTTTTTTTTTCTAAAAATAAAAATTGTAAATAATAAATTTTCTTGTGTATCTAAATTTTTAATTATTGAAAATTTTAATTGTTTTGCATTTTATTTATAAATGAAATAAGAATTTAAAGATATGTGAAGTTTCAAAAAAAAGATTTTTTATTTGCTCAATCTTTCGTGAATTATTATTTGTCTTGTTTTCTTTGATCCGTTCTTGTCTTCCAGCAATATTAAGTAACATTTATTCTATAAAAACATGAATTTTTAGATATAAGTAGTGATGTCAACATGAGTCTTAATTCTTTTTCTTTTCCTGAAATTTAGCTTTACATCTATATCGGGAATTATAAATAATACTAAATGCAATTGTATAATTTTCGACATATAACAGTATATTAGGATGACTGTTATTTAATTAAATAGTAAACAACTATGTTTAGCATATACGTGCAGACGTTTCTTTGTCGACATACTAATTTTACGTGTATTGTGAAAATATTTCAATTAATAACGATTGTGCCAGCATTTTGTATTTGATAAAGAAATGTGCTGTGATAAAACCCTTCTGAGATTTGCGAAATGCAATGGTTGCAAATTGAATGCGAGGAGATATAAGAAAAAAGAGAGAAGAAATAAAAGCAGAAAAGTAAGAAGGAGTAAGAAACTGAAACTTTAATCGAAGATGTGTCCTATTACTTAACGTGCATTTAAAGACTACAAGTAATGATTTTGTGAAACGTATGTGGTGTATGTGAACAGTGGTCAAGACTTTTTTTCGAGACCTTGTAAGGAATATATTTTCTAATTGTAAATTTTATTATTCGCATATATTCGATAATTATATTTATATGCGTTATGATAAAATGATACTTTAGTAATTTTATAGTAGTTTATAATAGTTTCCATCACTGAATGAATCACTATTGTCATTAATGAATTTATGTATATGATATTTGTGGAACGTTGTAAAAATTAAACGAAAAAAATGCGGAACTATTTACAGAACACAGTTTCATCAGTGTGATATGTATTATTTTTTTTATTTTAACATAAAAAAATATGTGTATCGATAGACAGGCAATTACGCAAATGAGAAAATGGCCTGTAATTATTATATCATATATTATTATTCTATTATATTTTATGTTATAACCCAAAATTATTTATAGCAACTTACAATTGCATATGTTACTTAAAATCTATGTTTAGAGACACTAGAAACTTTAGTTTGATAACTAAGAGTAAAATTGTGAAACGTAAAATTTAATGTAAGAGATGCTTTGATGAATTGTAGAGTTGATTTAAGCAATTTTCGGGTTTTTTACATATCTATTTATATACATATATTTGCATTATTATAAAAATATTTAAAAATATTTAATCAAATTAATACATTGTTTTATATCCATTGAAAAAACAATTAAACATAATATTTAAGCATCATGACACGTAAGAGAACATTACATATCGTTTATTTACAATTATTAGTAGAATTTATCACAAGAATTATTTATTTAATGCTTTATACCCTTGTGTGTAATAATTATTAAATTATAATACGAATGATTTTTTAAATTCTATTCTACTTATTCATTTTTATTGAAAAATTATCCTCATTAACTGTATTATTTTTGCGTGATTATTTTATACTAGTCTTAATTGCGAGACATGTCTGTCATTTACATTATAAGATAATTAATTTTCTCGAAAAAGAAAGTACATAGCACATATCTACTGATGTTTTAATTTTTATAAACGTATAAATGAGGAATTTAATGTCATGTTTTGATGCGGATGTTTGAATTTTTAAATAGACGTGTATAAAAAAATATGTAAATATATTGTAGAGCAAGTAAAATGATAATATCGCAGATAATAATAATCATGGATAGTTATAATTCCTGTATACATTATTTCTATTTATCAAGTTTTATGTATATGTACACATATATGTGTTACACAATGTCGATATTGCCCGCAATGCTGACACTTGTGCACTTTGGTCGCATATATACGTGTGTGTGTGTGTGTGTGTGTGTGTGTGTGTGTGTGTGTGTGTGTGTGTGTGCGTGTGTGCGTGTGTGTGTGTGTGGAGGGGGCGCGCGTGTGTATATATATATATAAACTTCTGTGTGTACTGTTCCCATTTACAAATTTATCTCATACATATTATTTATTTTTAATAAATTTTTAATAAATTTAATAATATGTATATTATATAGAAATTTTAAATAAAGTTAATTATCTAAATTTTCTTTTTGAAAAGAGAGAATGAGTTAAATCTCAATTCCAATGATTACTTATGGGAGCAGTCATACGGAAATAAAATCCTGATATTAAATAATGAATATTTATTTAGCCGGACCAATTTTCCGTACTTATATTTCCAACATTAATTTATTAAGCGTAAGATACATAAGAAAAGATAGTAAACAAACTTTATGTTAAATATTCATATGAATCACTTGATTATATACTATAAATGCATCTTTCATACATGTCAATGTGTCATATAAAACGACAATTTATGATTTTTTTAATTTATACTCATATTTATAGATACGTTCCTATTTTACATAAATTTATAATATATAATAAGTATTTGAATAATTTTTTGTATTATACATTAGAAAGGTATGTGTGAAAAAAACAAATTATATGTATGGTGAAGGAAAATATATATAAGATCGTTTGCGCCTATTGTTGAATATTTAGTCAATTATTGTAATGACTATTACATACTTATGCGCCTGAATTTTAGTTGCTTGTAATTGTATCTCTGTAAATACGAAAGGGTAATGTACGTTGTATATAATTAATTAATGAAGGAATAAAGTTGCCAAAAAATTCGTCATATAAACATTGTTGTATTGTAGATTTTTATGGATATACATACAAATGCATATTTAAATAGTGTATCTTTTTTGAATTTTTAAAGTATTTTTTGAAATCAAATATAAATTACAAACTATTGATTCGTTATAATTATATTTATTATAACTATGCTTAGACGCTTAGCATCACATTTTAAACTTATCTTCAAACGTAATTGTAATTTCTAAAATCATTTTTTTTATATACAATTGTTTTTAAAATTGAGGATATAGCTAATATATTATGTGAACCAGAAAATACAATAATAAAAAACTGTGACGTATCTATCATTTTATTATTTTTTATTATTAAAAATTTTTTATTAATAAAATTTATTGATATTACATATATCGATTGTTCGTCTTTTGAAATATCGCGGCTCCGGTTGCATTAATACGATATTCGTCACGCAATGGGTTGGGGAGATGCTATTCGCGCTATTTAGCGCTACAAATTGTTCGCGGAGCTGCAGATAACAAACGCAATCATAATGTCACTAATGGTAGCGTGTTACGTCACATCTGCGCGCTGTCAATGCTATTTCTTCCGAGATAGTATATAACATCAGCGTTTACAAATCCGTGAACGATCTTAGCGTAGCGTTGGTAGCGTTTAACAACGTCAAACGTTAGATTAATGTTTAAGGGATTCTGTTCTTGAGTCCAAACTTTTTCTCTTAAAATTTCGTAGAGTAAACGTACATACGTAATGTGCGAATTTCAAATTTTATCAAAATGAATGCAATCTTAATTTTAATCTGCTGATGGCTTGCCACTAGGCTGGAGTGAACGTAATTCTTGCTTGTGTATCATCTTTAACTTTTCAAAGTTTCTGCAAAGTGCAACTTGTGTATTTAATTTCATTATAAATGTGAAAGTCAGAGATATCTTGTTAGTGGCAATTTTTAATTCCCGTGTACGGAAAAAAAGTTATTATTGCGGTATAGCGCGACAGGGTATTCCGCTGCAGATGTTTAAGATCTTTATTAGATATAGATATGTTTCTTCTTCTGAAATCGACAATCGAGGATGCTCTTCCTTTTATCTGATTAATTTACTTAGTGTAACTATTAATTTTTTGATCTAGTTTCTACATTGTTCACTTCGGCCTAGCGGCAAGCTATCAGAGATTGCAATTAAGATTGCGTTCTGTTATTCACTACGCGAAAATAAAAAATTTACAAATACTTTACAAAACCTTCAAAATTTTAATTATAGGGAAAAGTTTGATTGGTGATTAAAAATAGAATCTCCTACATTAATTTAACCTCGACGAATAAGTCTCTTTGGTTAAACGCTATCAACGCTACGCTAGAATCGTTTATGGAGTTTGTTAACGCTATCGCACTATTGGCTCCAAGAATAGCATTGGTAGCGCTTGTGTTCATAGCGCGAATAGTATCTTTCCGAACGCATCCATTGTGAGCCGATGTGTTATGGCTGCAGCACAGACTTGCATAACGCATAATGCATAGTGCATAAGGGAATCGACCAATTGAAATTCGAAATTTGGAAGGAATGATTTATATTCTTTTCTTTTTACAATCATATATCGCCGTCGTTCTTCTCCGATGAATTGTTTAGCTCGAGGTTAGGGTTAAATGTGAATGGTGAGATAGAATTGAGAATTGAGATGACACACACGCCACACGGAAATCGTTTAGGAACACTCACCACCCAAAGGCATACGATACCCCCACTACTTATCCACTGAAGTCACCGAACACATCAACGAATGATATTTCCGAACGCAGCCTAGACACAGGTCCCTGGTGTCCGGGTGGGCTTCACCATTTTTGCGTCACTTTTAGTTTTTGATCTCTCATAAGGACGTGATCTGGCTGTATCGACTTCGGTTTATTATTTCGGGAGGCGGAAACCATTAATTTTAAGAAAAAGAAGAAATTAGACACGCGAACATGGCTCCGGTAAGTTATCATTCTTGCAAAATACGACGATTATCCATAATTATGGCAGAATTTCGTTAAAATATCACGTACGGAAAGAACGCGTCCGACTTGTCGATCGCGACACATTGGCTTATTGTTTTATGTTGAGATCGTTTCAGTCTAGTCCGATTTTTATCCTATCCTGCCGCCTTGGACGATTTTCCACGTGTCCCATAAAATGATGGCAACATTATTATTAAACAGATTATTTTCGCAAATTTTTAGCCAGCAAAGAAAACTAAAGGCCCCATTAAGAAGCAGGTGCTTCGGGGTAAGGGACAGAAGAAAAAAGTATCTGTGAGATTCACTATCGATTGCACGCATCCCGTGGAGGATAATATTATGGATGTTACCAATTTTGTAAGTTACATTATTGTTCTTGATTATTTCAGATTATATTCTTAATATTCTTTTTTCCCATCTATGAGAATTTCGCTCGAAATTGTTCATTTGAAATCGAGACTTAATCTATTTCTTGCTGATCTCTAACGTCCTTTACGTGATGAAAAATTCTAACGTTGATTTATTTTGATTTATTGCGTGATGCCTACTGAAGTTTTAGTACTATATTGTTGAGACTGATTATTATAAGATGATAATGTTTTCTCTTTTTAGGAAAAATATTTACAAGAAAAAATTAAGGTTGGTGGTAAAACCAATAACTTTGGCAACAATGTTGCCTTGGAACGTAACAAAATGAAACTCACTGTCAACAGTGATGTCGACTTCTCGAAACGGTGAGTGATATCGTTTTTCTGTAATTGTAACAATCGTAGAACATTATGGATAAAATTGATATCTACAGTCAATTCATACCTTAATCTTAATCATCTTAAGTTTTAACATGTTTTATGTCAATCATAAAGTTGAATTAGCATCTTATGATATTACTTAAAACAATCTTTAAATAGGACTAGACTATGAGTACTGGCTTATAAATGTTTATCATTTAAACTGGTATTGATAATCTATTCTTTAAAATTTTAAGTAATGTCTTAAAATGCTAATACATCTCTGTGATTGACTTTACAGTAGCATCTACAATGAATAAATCTTAAGCTTTAAACTCTGAACTATAAGAAATTAATCAATCATAGTCGAGTACGAGAAGAATAATTGACTGTGATTAGTCAATTTCTTAAGACTTCAAGTTCAGGTAGCGATTTATTATAGAAAGCCTATAAGAATAACTGAATATCTGTGATTCTAGTGATATAGTCGACACAAACATTTTATCTTGGCATTTAATGAAGAACAAAGACAAAACATATTTATATCATCTTGTCTTCATTAAGTAGATAAAATTGTATGATATTAAACAATATTAAGACCAATATGCATAGTCCTTTATTATTTCAATATTGTCTTAAATAATGTCTTAATGTGTCCCTCTAGTTGGTTCACGTGACATCTTAAGATAGTTTTAAAATAAGAATTGAATATTGACTTATTTTACTATTTTTTTACTATTACAAGTTTACTATTATAAGCTACAGGAAGAGCGATATTTGCACTAATTTGGAAAACATTGTTTTTATAGATATCTCAAGTATTTGACAAAGAAATACTTGAAGAAGAACAAATTGCGTGATTGGTTGCGAGTAGTATCGAAAGACAAGGAAACGTACGAGTTACGATACTTTCAAATTAACAGTCAAGAAGATGATGATGAGGAAGATGTGGAATAATTCTCTTTATTCTTTTAATTACAGATGCTGTATATATTTCTTTTAATAAAGAATACTAAAATTCGATATTCTTGATTATGCAAATACAAAATAATTAGCTTCGATTATATAACTATTTTTAATTTTTTAACTATAATTTTGTAATCGTGCAATTCTATTAGTTATATATACATTTCTGTAATTATTTCAAAATATAACTGCAAAAACGAGACGAATTTTTACAAAGGTTAAAAATTTATACTGTATAACTTTTCTAAAAACAAGTTAATTAAAAAAATTAATAAGTCCTATGATGTAAATTAAATTGTCTTTAAAATCTTTTTTTCTCCAGATGTTAAATATTTATCGAATATTAACAAAGCTTTTAAATGACTTCTAAATTCGTTTAGTAATCTGAAGACTCTAAATTTTAAAGACAAAAACAATAAAATGAGAAGTAAGAATATCGTATAGTTTGTCGATCATTTCAAAAATCTAAATGCATTGTAAGATTTCTTTCAAAAGATTACTATTTTATTATGTCTCATGTTTATTGCGATCGAAATCGTGCTTATTGCTGAGTATTTGCTCGCGTTTTACCTATTCCCTCTTGTCATTCTCCGACTTGTCAGGCTGATGCAAATGTTCAACTGGGCTCTTCGAACTATTCCCAACTATATCCCAACTCTTCACAACTAGCGTTATGTTAATATGCAGAAAATTAGAATCGAAATTATATTGATTTGTGAAATACGACTTGATCCGGAAAAGCCCAATGGTTTTCAGTTCTTTTCAATTTCCTTTTCAATAGACCTAACCATTTGAATCAGCACATTAACTGAAAGATCTTTTTTTGCATATATTCTCGAATAAAGATCAATACAGCTAATGTCTAATGTATATTATATGTATTATATATAT